ATATATATATATACATACACACATATATATATATATATATACATATATATTTTTTATTTATATATACATAAAATGATGTTGATTATATTATTATATATACATATATATCATACATATACACATAGTGATACATATCAATCAATCAATCAATCAATCAATTTTATTTATAAAGCACCCTTCATACTAAAAGCAGCTCAAAGTGCTGTACAGAATTATAAACAATAAACCCACAAAATAAATGCAAACAGCACACACAAAATAAAATAAAATTGTATGGAAAATGTATAGACTGAACAGAAATGAACCAGTTCAGGAAATACAGTTAAAAAGATGGGTCTTGAGCCTGCTCTTAAAAACAACAACATTCTCTGCGGCCCTCAGGTTCTCCGGCAGACTATTCCACAGACGGGGGCCATAGTACTGGAAAGAAGCCTCACCGTAAGTGTGAGTTCTGACTATTGGAACTGTTGGTAGTCCAGTGCCAGAGGACCTTAGTGTCCGCGGGGGTTCATAGGGTAATAGCAGCTCTGCAAGATAAGATGGTGCGAGACCATTGAGACATTTAAAAACCATTAAAAGAATATTAAAATCAACCCTGAGACGCACAGGGAGCCAATGCAATGATTTTAAAACAGGTGTAATATGAGCCTGCCTTCTGGTCTTGGTTAACACACGAGCAGCAGAGTTTTGTACCAGCTGAAGGCTGGATAAATTTTTCTTAGGGAGACCAGAAAGCAGTGCATTACAGTAGTCTAAACGGCTAGATATAAAAGCGTGCATTAAAGTCTCAGTATTAGTAAAAGAGAGAAGAGGGCGGACTCTGGCTATATTTTTTAGATGGTAAAATCCTGTTTTGACTATATGTTTGATATGTGGAATAAAAGTAAGCTCAGAGTCAAAAAGAACCCCCAGGCTTATTACTTTTTTGGAAGGCTTTAAAGACAGAGATTGTAATTTCTGAATTGTATTTTCTTTTTGAACCTCTGGTCCAATGAGTAAAACTTCTGTTTTGTCCTGGTTTAGCTGGAGAAAGTTCTGTGCCATCCAGGACTTTATGTCTGAAATGCAATTAAAAAGTGCAGTGATTGGCCGGGGGTCATCATGAGATAATGAGATGTATAGCTGTGTGTCATCAGCATAACTGTGGAAACTTATCCCATGGCTCCTGATGACTCCACCAAGCGGCAACATGTACAAATTAAAAAGTAGGGGGCCTAAAATAGAGCCTTGGGGGACGCCATAGTTGGCTTCATGGATCTGCGAGGTGCATGTATCCATACTTACCATAAAGGTTCTATCTGTGAGATAGGAGCTGAACCACAGAAGAACAGTATCAGAAAGACCGACCAGGTGTTTTAATCTATTTAGAAGAATTTGATGATCTACGGTATCAAAGGCTGCAGTCAGATCCAATAGAACAAGAACTGAGAGCTTGTGTGAATCCAGAT